TAAACAATAACAACAGAAAATAATGTCACTTTAACTAAAAAGGGTTCAATTAATGATTAATAATTAATTTACTTTAACTAAAAAGGGTTCAATTAATGTTTATTATTTTCCCCTTTCATAAATAAAATTGCCAGTTTCTAATGTAGTTTATAATGAAACTGCACTGTTTTTTTATTGTATATTTCCATCAGTGAGGGTTTGGGCATAAACACGAGGGCTTTTGTGGTAAACTCTATCTTTAGACATTTCACTAAGTACTTTGCTTAGTGTGTGGTTACAGCTGAAAGGGGACAAACACTGAGACCTGAGCTTGATAACAATGGCCACAGCAGGCCAATGACTGCAGTGAAATAAGCCCCATATTGATGTTTAATTTATGTGATTTTCCTGGATATGAAATCGAACAGATAAGCCCAGGCAAATTAAGTGGCTGAAAGGACCATAAGCAGGTCCGTATTTGAGATTAGGCTCTTTGAGTGGGAGCATCTTAGAAACCAATTACCAGACAAGAAATAGATCATTATTTTTTCTTAGAGGATTGCGATGTGGGGATGTGTGTGGGGGTGCAAAGGTGGTGGCTAAAAGGAAGGGAGGGTTATCTAGATAGAAGAGTGAGGGCACAATAAAGACATAATCATCTGGCCTCAACTTTTCCTATCCAACTTTCAGATTTTAATTTGCCGTCTGTGAAGTGCTACCTAATTTACTTTCGCCTCCGTTCCTTCAATGCGCCATTGTTGCTGCCGCTGAGATTCAGAGCTTCCTCTCTTAGCTCACCTCAGCGTGAAATTGGTTTAATGAAGCTGAAAGGTATGGGGCTCTGACAACACTGTGGATTCCAGTGACACGGCTTGATCCACCCACCCCTCGTCACCGCGCATCCCCACGGCCCCAGCTCCCCGCACACACACTCACATTACGGTGACAGTTTATAACGCAGGCCGCAGAAGATCACTATCTCACACATTACATGGGCTCATATTACTGTCCCTTTGAGAGTGCCAACGCTCAGGCAAGCGCTGCGAGGAGAGAGTGACTGGCTGATAAGTTTGCATGTGTGAGACACTTCAGATCATCAGGCGGTAACATTTGACACTTGAAACAGAGGAGCTAGAGGTTAAAAAAAATGCAGAGATTGTTTTAAATGTAGAGAGGACGGAATGAAAAAGGATTTAAGAACGATGACAGAGAGAGAGAGGAGTGACACGAGGAGGTGAAACTAGCCAGAAAGAAACCCTGCCTGTTTTTCCCACCTCTTCCAATCTGACCCTGTGAAAGGTGTTCTCCTGTTACCTGTCCTTCTGGGTGTGGTTTCTAATGGGAATGGAGAGGAAGTCCTGTGGGATTATTGTGTGGTTGGTGTGTGTGTGTGTGTTACATTAATATGATCCCCTTAAGTCATATCGTTTACTTTTTCTCGTCCCATTTTAGGACAATTGAATGGAAATGCATCCGTAACCCAATATTCCAGCCTGTACTACTAATTTCTGGTTTGAGGCCCAATGTGGAGCTGGGCAGATAGTACGTTAGAAAAAAAAGTGACAGGGGAGGGAAATGAGGGTTGAATGGAAACTGCAGGATTAAAGAGGTTTCCAGTTCCGGCATCACATGCCAACGGTGAAGTAATTCCACTGTGTGGCAGTTGTGTTTATGTGAAGTTTTCAAAATTGTGTAAAATAACAGCATCTTTAAAAACAGCCTGGTGCCTGGTGCCACTGGAACAGGTTTGGCCTGATTCACACGTCACTCACACTAATCTAGCATAATTAGGTTAGGATGCTGCCGTTAACACTAGTTTGTGTAAACAGGCCTCCGTTTCATCACAGCAAGAAAAACATGTTTGTGAATAGAGACATCGAGTCTCTGCACACTTGATGTGACTGGCTCAGTGGCCTGTCATCATCTCTGGGTCTTCATGAGCCGTCTCCTTTACATCGAACGTGCGTTACGCAGAGATAATTGGTGACTATTAACGAGATTGGTAATTACGACAGCGGCTAATAATATTTGTGTGGTTCAGGCGTCTGTAAGTACAAAGAAAGTGATGAAAGTGATGAAACAGAGGGAGAGAGAGAAAGAGGAGGAGGTGGTCAACGATAAAGGAAAAAGGGAAGAAAAAGAAAAAGAAAACGGAAGGAGAGAAGAAAGGAATGAAGACGTGTGTAAGGAAGAAAAAGGAAATAAGTAAGGAGGAAACAAACAAAGAAGAAAGAGAGGAAACAGACCGACTAAAGGAAGGAAAGATAGATGGGTAAAAAGAAGGAGGTAATCGAGGTAAAGGCATGTAGACAGAAGGGAAGAAAGGAAGGAAGCCGGAACAGCAAACAGAAGGAAGTAGAAAAGGAGGAAGAAAGGAAAGAAGAAGGTAACAGAAACAACTGGGAATGTAGGACGGAAGAAAAGGAGAAAGAAGGGAAGTGAGAGAGACAAAAAGAAGAGATAAAAAAAGAAAACTTTTATACCTTTAAACAAGCCATCACAATTAAATTTTATTATTTGTTCGTTTTTATTAACCATACTGTGTTTGTTTAATGTGTTCCATCGTAAATCAGCCATTTACATTTAATGACCTTTATTGTAATTATCCGTGTTTTGTTTTAGACCTAAAGGAGAGGAAAGAGAAAGAAACAAAGAAAGAAACAAAGAAAAAAAGGAGAGGAAAAAAAAGAAAAGAAAAACTAAAGAAAGAAAGACAGACGCAGCTTACAGGTCTGGGAGAGCTGGAGGACAACCTAAGGAGCGGAGGACAGGACAGGGACGACTTACAAAGGTTTCTTTGCACTGTAATGATACGGCCATTGTGTTTGACGACCATAATTCAAAAAGAAGGAGCACTTTCACTGCTGCGGCTCTGCTCTGGCCAGCAGCACGCACTGCTGTTTGTCTTTCAAATGCCATTGTGGGTGAGGCCACTAGTGTATGCACAAAGTGCTTGTTACAACTTTCCATTCAGTGCGGGATTGTGCGACGCACAAAGGAATGTCAAATAACTGTCCTTTGATTCTTTCTGCGATTTTTGTCCGACATCCAAGCATCATATTGTCAAAGTGGGCAAATTAGTTTTTAAACACTTTGGTTTTCTGAAGCCGTGGACAGAGAAAGAGGGCGATTATGTGTAGACTGGAGCCAAACTGCGGTTCCATTCAAAGCTCCCTCCTGATCTGACACCTGCAGATGCAGACAGATGTGACCACATCAGCAGTGCCATCTCCACAGGTGAATACAAAATTATCAAAAAAAAACCAACACACTGCTGCCACAGACACCACACCCACATATAAAGGGAATTACACAGACCGATTCACTCCAAGCACGCAGTCACAGAGATAACAGACGTCAAGAGAAAAAACACTCCTTCCACCCACTAGTCTTTACGGACGTGTTTTTAATGATCAAAGATAAAACATTAAAGGTGAACCAAATTTGCTTCCCTTTTCTATAAATACAAAAAAAAAAAAAACATTTTTAAAACACTCGTTGTATAATACTTCCACCACTGGCTGTTTCTGACAGTGCTGCCTTTGACCACTAGTGGGAGCTGGAGAACAGACGACATGTGCTCTCATGGATCCACTTCAGGCTCTAACTCTGAATAAAAAAAAAGTTCTTGTTTGAACAGTGCTGGGAACCAACAGTGATTTTATGGGTTTGTTTAAAAACACAGACTAAAACACAGACAAGTCGTGGAGACAAACAGACGGATGAGCGCGCAGGAGCTGGGTGTTTGGTTTCACCGGTGTACGCTGAAGGATGAGCAAACCCAGAGCCCTTTCATTGGTCTGTAAACATTTTAAGTAGAATTAACAGAGTGGAGAAGATGTGACACTTGCCCTGAGATAACTGCCTGAGTGGAGAGGAGAACAGAGGGCAGCGGACGAGAGGTCAGATTTTTTTTTTTTGTTTTTTTGACCACAGTTTGCTTTTTTAAGGATGTGGGTTTTGAAAGTTTAGTCATTCGAGTTGATTTTACCTCCAAACTTAAAAACACCACACACACAGACACACACAGACACATTTACCAAGGATGATCCCCACATGGTGTTACCTGTCTGAGGTCCGTGGTCGTACACCTGGCCTCAGGCCACGTCCCACAGTCCTCCTCTGTAATGCTACACACTCACCACAGAGGTTAACACACAAACACACTCACACGGGGTAAAACACTCTCCTCCACTGAAGCAGCCCTGAAGGCCTTCTAAATCTCCTGAGACAACCTGCCGTGAGGTAATGAGGAATTAAAGGTGAGGAAGGAGGTCTCCGGAAGATTTACAGGCTTTAACTCCTGTTCGTGTCACTCCTGCAGACCTGTCGGCCTGTGGCTATCAATAACAACGACCACAACCGCCAGCGTCTGACTGTCCGACCAACATGACATCATGAATGCCGCAGTTTTCTGTGTTCATGTTTCATTACATGTTGCATTTCAGGCTGTACCAGAACTGATTAAATAATCATATTAAATATAATAAAATAAATTTGAATATAATTTTTTTTCCTAAAATGTGTCTTTTTGAATGAAGAGAAAATAATTAATTATAAACATAATAAAATGACAGAAAATTGAAAACATCTTTTTAGAAAACAGTTTTTAGTTTATTTTCTTGTTTTGATTCTGGTTACAATAAATAATTACACTATTACTTAAATTATTACTATTATTTTGCAGACTTACTTTTAATGATGAAAGATGCATTAAAGATGTGTTTAAAGGTGTTTATATAATAATAATAACAATAATGAATATTATTATTATTATACATTAGATCTATAGATTAAAATAAAATAAAAATAATAAATATATTTAAAATAACTTTAAAGCATCATATTGCATATATTTTAGAGTATTTTGGTTCATTATTAAGTGAATTTATATAACATATTTTCTCAACTGTGCACTTCAAATAAATTGGTTACTAATGACACATGACTGAGCACATAAAAAAATACTTAAAATTAAAAAATATATATTTAATTTCCACTCACTAAGCAGTGTTTGATGAATTAACGTATAGCACAAAAAAAAATTAAATGTATATGAGAACTAATGAGTTACAGACACCAGTTCAGGTGCATTGTGTCTGTGGCTGTGACTTTAACAGACAAATGTAATGCAGCTGGATGAGTACAGACGAGTGCTTCATGAGTATTTTCCGACGCAGCCTGTGTGACAAACATCTGTGGCCACTCCTCATTCCACTTTGTTTCTCCCGTGAACAGAGCAGACAAACACTCCGAAATCAGATTGACGGCTTTGCCTTCATCTTCTTACTTTTGTGTTTAATCTCATTTCAAACATTTTTCCACAACAGACGCTCCTTCGCTATAGTGAACCATCAAAGCGTTGTGTCGGAAAAATCACAATCCTTCAATATTTACAGTGAAAGTCAAAAGTGTAATTCTGCCGCACAGTCAAAAACATGTTTAGTAAACCACAAAGGCACTGGTTGTTAACAGTCAACTGGACAATGAGCAGGGGGATTAAAAATGTAGCCAGCAGATCAAATCATTGGATACAGAGATAAGCTGTGTCTGATCTGAAGTTCAGAGGAAAAACTGATTTCAGTAGGAGGGAACAGGAAACCAAAACCCAAAAGAATCTACTGTGACAACACTGTGGCTACAGGTGACATACGGACAACTACGGCTGAATCGCATGGGCAGCGGAGTGTGACTCACTGACATGTCACTAAGAAATCAACAGGTTCAGAAGTTTGTCATGATTCATATGTCAAATGACAGTCAAAAAAACCATCACGGCTTAAAGCGAGGAGAGACTGAATCCTCTGCTGCGTGTCTTTGTGCTTCTGAAATTACACTTGCAGGTAGTTTGTGGTTGAAATGTTTCATTAACAACAGACAACGGAGGCACGTCGCTGGAACTCTGAACACATGCGTCTTTCTGTGGACTGACTCTTTCACCCGTCAGGGTGCAGAGGGGCTGTGAGTCCTCAGCACGTGGGCTTTTAAACCCAGACAGGTTTGTACGGTGCAATTATCAGACTAAGACATAGGGTGCAATAATCAGTAGGTGCTGCAGCGTTAGCTACGGGGAAGGTGAAGGAAACACCGTTGAAAACACAGGGCCGGTGTTAGGTGTGGGGACTGAACTCACCTGACTGTAGTTCCTCGTCCTACAAGTGCGCAGGGTGTTTTCTGTGATGAGGACAGTCTGATAGCATGACATGGGCCGCGGTGGGTGTGCCCCGCTATGGGAGAATGTGTGTAGGTGTGCTTGCAGTTTAAAAATAGGGCATGCCTAAGACACAACTGACGAACACAATTCATAAATGTGTTTACCTTTGTGTCAAGGGAGACCGTGTGAATGTGGCTCGATCTAGTCAACGTCTGACGTGAGGCATGAGACTCTGTGACAAGTCCATCATTAGCGAGGAGGAGGACAGACGTAAAGACGATAAGAATGCGTGTTGTTTAAGGGGTCTCTGAGCTAAGGTGAGCGGTGAAGAGACGGGGAAATGAAGAAATAACGTCCGACTGGAACAAAATCCGGTTATAAAACGTGCGCATTGATGCCGTGTGCATGTTTGAGTGCATGCATGCGTGTGTGTTCAGCCATGTCTGCAGGGTGAGGTGGAGGCTGATGCTTTGGCAGCAGGTCTGGCACGTCTTTCAGGCCCAAACCTGCAGAGGAGCAAGAGACGAAGACGTAGACGTAGACACAGAGAGACATACACAGAGAGACAGACAGTGGGCAAATAGGTGTGAGTCTGCCTGTCTTCATGCGATATGCTTCACTTGTACTTATACATCACTAAAAGCTCCTGCCACTGACAAAGCAAATAAAGGTCCAGTTCAGCCAAATACTGGCTCCCAGCTCTGAGGGAGGACAGTTATTAAGGCGCTGAGAGGCAGGAGAGCAAACACAGTCATTTAATGTTCATTTCACTTCCTCCAAAAGTCATTTTCAGTTTATCACCATCTACTCTTGTTTCCCCACCATCTATTCCGGTGGTCTATTTAGGCTCTGATTTATTATTTTCACAGGTCTGGACACTCATTTTTAACATGGGAGCCTGCAGTGTAACTTTGTTTTGCTTTATCTTTCACCCAGCCACATCACTGCTGATGAAGCCATTGTATTTCATCAGTCATGTGTTTTAGGAATGCAAACAAAAAGGTTGTCTCGCCTGTTTTAAATGTAAAGGTTGAATGGATTTCAACACTTTTTTTTATTTATGTATATGTAAAAAAAAAACAAATAAACACTAGTGAAGTGGTAGAGACATCTCAGGTACATTGGAAACTACAACAACAGCAAGAGGAATCATTCAGCTGTATTGTATAATTTTTTTTACTCGTCAGTTTTGCTAGGGTGTCACCATTTGTTGGTCCAAAGGTTGTTGAAAGTATAGCCAATAGGTGGCAGTAATGCTATTTAGGGATTAAAAGATTATACGTAAACCCCTAAGAAAAAGAGAAAGTCTAAAGCTATTCAATGATCCATTCTTTTGAGCCTGACTTTGAAAACAAGAAAGTCAACTGGGATAAACTGATCGGAGGATGTTCTCAGTTCTCCAACACACGGGTTTGGAGCCTGAAGTTTGCACCAAAATGACCTAGGATTGTGGTTATTTAAGGTTTCTGTTCTGACGGCAACATGTTGTTGTTGTTATTATCAGTATTTGAAGAGGCCTGGTTAGTGAAGTCAGGGAATGTCAGCCTGACTACTGTAAAATAAGAAATTCCCCAACACTCATGTTACCAAATATTTGGTGTGTGTATCATATCATCAGGTGTAATAATGAGAAGTATTTCTTATATCCAGCAGAAACTTTATAGTTTCCAAAAACAGTGGATTGACCACTGTGTACTGTGGTTCTCTTTAAACAACCAGCAACTCTGTGACATCATGAACAAAATGCCACTGTGCCACGACTGTACCAAAACTGACGAGACGTATTACTAACAGTTGTCAGTCATGCTAACCCTGTAACATCTTGTCACATACACATGAACCTGCCTCATCTCTTCTTCGTTGGATTTCAATAAAGGCTCTGTAGCTGTGATTGGCTTTACTGCCTCCTACTGGCTGTACAGACAAATGGCCATATCCTTCATGTTTTTCCTATGGCCTAATAGAAATGACTTTGTTTTATTTATTTTATTTTATTTATTTTTAGAAATCCTACATATGAATAATCTTTTAAAAACTCAGCCTCATCACTAACAATAGTCCCCCGTCATCAAGTAGGTTCAGAATAATGTCATCTAGATTAAAGGTAGTATTTCCTTGCAGAGTTGAACTTGTGCTGCAGATATTGTTAGATAAAAGGATTTCCTGAATAATATCCAGAGAAAGCATTCACCTACAAGGCAGCACTTCTAAAGACAGTATGTTTTCCCCAAGGCAGTAAATCTCTCTGCATTGTGACCACGGCACAAAAACTACATTGGAGAGTGTATCAACCCCATAACCTCAAAGGAAATCTCCATTCAGTGGCCATAAAAGGACGCCTTAGCGCTCTATTGCTGTGGGGCTGGTTACAGAAGAAGAGAATGGATTAGGAGAGAAAACAGAGAGGAGAAAAAGTGAAGAGTGTACAGGTGAGGTCCTATGGCTATGGAGGTTTGCTCAGCTGTGCTGTATTCTTCTCTGCACCCCACCCAGTAACCAAAGGCCTGGATATCTTTCCATTTCACTCTTCTCCACCCTCCCTCCCTTGGTCGCTCTAGCTCTTTCATATTTGCACAGGTGAGAGACGACATCAGGTCTAATAAGTGTGGGTGGGACACCTGAAAGTCAGGTTTGCCTGGCTGGTGGACAAGTTCACCTGTGGACTGTGGTGAAACTGGCCTCTGCTTTGACAACGAGAGAAATAGAAAACTAAATAATTCTGTTTATATCTGAAAACATTTAAACATTTTATTATTATTGTTTCTTCGTACTTATTTATTAAATTTATTTAAAGAAGAAAAGTACTTTAGATTTGGTGCTGTTGTGTGAGAGACAAAATCTGCACGTACAAACAGCAAGAGACTGACAGCAGGGAGGGCCGAGGTTCAGGGAACCTGGTGGAGTAGTGAAGGAGTCATCAGGGTGGGGAGGCTTTTCTCTAAGGGCCAAAAGTTCAGAGGGAGGCAGAGCGAGTTGGTAACCTTAGCCAACATGTGCCAGAGTCTCACGTGTTCCCTGCATTGTCTTATCAGGTAGAAGCTCAGGTTTCTGGAGGACAGAGAGCTTCCTGAGTGCTGAGGTCCGAGCACCACCGCCACCACCCACCCACCCACCCACCCACTTACTCACCCACCTTCTCACCTGCCTTCCTCCTGGACCCCTTGCTCCACCCTGCAAAGGTAAACACACACACACAATTAGCAAACACACATACATAATACATCAACGCATATGCATATGTGTAAAAGGCAAACACTGGAGCATGCTCCAGCCTGAGAAAGTTGCCTCAGACGTGCGAGCTAGAGTGCCAGAGAAGACGACAAACACACACGGGTGCCACGGCCAGCCGGTAAATAATGTACACTTGCTGCAAATCTGGGTGATGTCTTTCTTTTTGTAAAGAATTATGATGAGCCTGTCAACACCTTGGGAAAAAATACAGCCCAGGTATTACAATGGCAACTGGAGGAACAAGTCGTAAATCACAACAGCGATTACGCCCAGGAGTCTCTGTCAGACACATGAAGCAGGATTTTACGTCATCAGGATATAAGATGAAGAGGCCATAAACACAGCTTGTTTGATCTCTCAGTTCTGGAAATTTTTTCAGCTGCAAACCTGCTGTTTTCAGGCCATACAGGAAGACAACCTCTCTCTCTGCAGCTGTAAATCACCAGTCCTGGTGGTCTCCAAATGAAGTTGTGAAAAAAGAAAATACACCAGTCCTGGTGGTCTCCAAATGAAGTCGTGAAAAAAGAAAATACAAAACAACACATTAAGCAGTGGCTATGAAAACACCGCGGTTCAAATCGACCTGATTTGATCATATTATTACACATATTATTACTTTGTCCTCCATACAGGTTTTTCAGGGAAAGAATGCACATGTAATAATACAGCTTTTGTTAATACAACAAAGTGTTGCTGCAGCTTTAATTCACTGCCAACTGACTGTGTCATCAACTGCACTAAGGCTCCTGATGAGTGTGTAACAATGGAACAATTTGTGATATAATACTTTGGATTCTCTCCTGCTTTGATGATGAATTCACTGATTTTGGACATGTGTGAGTGTTTGTGTACTTCTGTCTTCTTTGTTTACGCAGTACATACCTGTGTACTGCAAGGAAACCAGAACATCCAGAGACAACTGTCACACACACACACACACACACACACAGGGGTGGAACATGAGGAAGGACCATCAGTTACAGTGGAGAGGCTAGGCTGGTTTTTGAGGTTAGGCAACGGCCCTTACGATGTGGCCACTGACGGCCAAGACAGTCCTATCTAATTAGGAGAATAGGAAGTGACAAGAAAACACTGTTAGCATGTTGTGGGCGCCGGGCTACAGCAGCTGATGCTGTCACTGGCATTCAGGTGTCGTTTGGCTCCTATTTGATGGACTGGCATAAATTGAATCCACTAATCATCTACTTGTTCTTATTGTCAAAAGGGAATCTAGATGCAAACTTGCCAGAGAAAAGTTGACAGAAAAAGTGAGAAGAAGACACATTTTATTATAAATCTTCTCTTCAGACACTACTTAGACCTAGGTCTTTCTAGCTAGTTCTAGCGTCGTTTGTTTACATCCCCAGGACTGCACGTGTTTCTTGCTACAGACGCTGCAAAAATAATGAGTATTGTGAACAAACTACACAACAATGGTTGACCATATTTTTACTTAAACACCAGCGTGTCAGAGAAGACTGATGACATTCTTCGACAGTGTGCAATTCTCTAGGGGAACATTTCTAACACCTGACTTTCCGCTCTGAAGGCTAATTGTAAAAAGGCCAGGTTGAAAGTTAGAAACACACTGGGGCCCTTCACATGTCATTCATCCGCTTTCGGAGACCCGGATCGAGGCCTTTGGTCTCCGAGATGACTAAACACGCTGAGCTTGGAATAGTTGTGATGTCATTGGAATTCCATGAGGACTAAACAAGGACCGTCTCCATGACAACATAACTCTCAGCTCGTTATGGTTTGGAATTATGTGTGAATGAAAAAGAGAGCAAGAGGAGGAGAGAAACCCTAAAGCCTCGACCTCAAATCACACTGCACCAGTTCCCAACGGTGCCTGTAAATTAAATCAACACAAAAGCAGCATTTATCTCATATGTTTGCTTTAAAAACATAATTGTAAAACCATGAGGATAATTATAAACTACACCTCTACATTCCAAACTGTATATAGTATCACATGTCTGTCATTGCTACGACAGCAACAGAGATGCTTGGAGATAGGCAGGTCTCTCTCCATGGGAGGTAATGGGCCTTGACTTCTCAGCTACTGGTCACACCCTGATTTTTGTTAAAAAGGTGCTCAGGCTAATGATCCCCCCACTGGGAGAGCAGGACACCCCAGGAGCTGCAGCGAGGGGGAGGGGGAGCAGAATGCGGAGGTGGATGGAACGTTTGCAGACGCAGGTCGTCTCACCTGATCTACTCCATGAAAATGTAAGGATGGTCGTAACTGCAGACGAGAAAAAGAATCACACAAGAAAACAAACGTCTGAGTCGCACACCTCACCAGAGGGAATACAACAAAAATGTGAAATAAGATATCGGGAGAAGAGATATGCCGAAAGCACTGGGAGATAATATGAAGAAGAAACAGATACGAGCGTGGAAACAGCAATTGATTTTTTTTTTATAGGTGAACTGAGTGTTTTCTGTCAGGAAGAGACTATTCCACTTTGGAATAGTGGATTTTAGGCAATGAAATAAAACTGAAGTACTGAGATAACCAGATGTAGTAAACTTCAAGTAATGTTAAATGTAATAGTACACTTTTAATTCTGCACTTTTATTATGGTTTGCACATCATGGTACTTGCAACCACAGTGACCGTAAAAGTCAAGTTTGTGACTGGTTGTTTGCTGTTAGAGCTGCTGAGTCACCAGGCTAAAAGCACACACACACACACAGAGCTACTGAACAGTCTCATTAATAACAGTCGTTTTCAGATCTGCACCGCAGGGAAAAGGTTTGTCCTTATGTCGTAGATATAGGTCGGGTTTACAACAGTCCTCATATCTAACTAAATACCATTGAGGGCTGGGTTACATGAGGTGTGAACAGTTACAGTAAAACATGTCAATGCATTTGTCTTCCTTTCAAATTCATCTGCTCTCTGACACCTAGCAAAGATTTTACTGAATGTTAGAGGTTCGCCACTGCATTGGTGAATTGCAGCAGCATGCAAGAGCTCCATGTGGAGGTGTGAATGTTAACATGGCTCAATCTGTATGTCAATGAGGAAAAACAATCCATGCTAATCTGCTGCCACAGACAGGTGTCCAGTTAGGCCAATCAGGAGGGGAATCATCTGGAGTGGAGAGGGTTCAGAGAAGCCCAGATCAGGGCCTTGATTGCAGCTGGGTGATTTACAGCTGAGAACAAAAATGACGGCAGCACTGATGGAGGGGCTGTGACTCCGACTCACCGCTCACCTGACATCCATGCACTGATGTGCACAGACAGATGTGCAGACGCGTAAACACACACTCGCACACACAGGCACCAAAACACTGTCCGCTTGTGTTAGTCACGGCGGTGCTGGGATCAGCTCTGCCTGGTTTTACTCTTTGACCCAAACGTGGCCCCGGGGGCTTGCATTTGACCTGCTGCATTTTACTAACAACACATAAACCAAAACAACTCAGCAAGCCACTTCCTATGAACTCAGCACAGATGAAACAGATAACTGTCTCTGCCCTGCAGTGGCATATGTAAATACAACGGGAAAAGCAGAGGTTTGCATGAATGAATTTGGGGGTGTGTGAGGGGGGGGATTCCTGATGTTAAGTGTGCTTATGGGAGAGGAGGAGGAGGAGGAGGAGGAGAAGGAGGTCACCATCAAAAGTGTTCTTTTGAGCATCCCCTTTGATCTCCCATGTCATTTTGAGAGAGAAGAAGGACATCTAGGAATGAGAGTTGTCTTCAAAGTGACCCTGACAGACACTGGCAGCAGCATCTGTCTTACAGTCATCGCTGGATGATATAATGATATAATGAAAATACTCTACATTTGACATTGTCAATGACAAAGGTGTAAATAAGAAAAAAGTGAGTCACTTGCATCTATTAATTCAAGCTCAAAGCTTCAATGTGACATTACTTCAATTCCTTCAAGAACTCCTTCAAGAACGCACAATGTGAGCCAATATATTATACATGTAATAATAGTATTTCATAAGTGCACGCAGTGATAGACATTCCACCACAACAGCAAAGAACATGCAAGTTATGTTGAGGACACTCGCTTTTTTTTCAAGCATAGACCAATGAAAATTTCTCACAGAATTAGTGCATTGATTTTTTTTTTAAAACAAGATTTTAAAATAAAATTTAGGCATAATCACTGCTCATGTTCACTTTTCCATTTAAACAGAAGATTTCTGTAGTACAGCTAAGAACATTCTTGGCATATGGAGAAAGTTCCTTGTGTGTTTCAGGGTTTTATTTTTTGGTGTTGGAAACAAACTCAGAACAAAGACCAAACCCAAGAAGTTACCAACTATTCAATATTCACAGTAGATTAATGAAATCTTCTGTTGAAACCAGCTGCCTCTCAGTAGACTCATATGTTAGCTGCATATTTTTGCTTCCTCTGTATTTGAAAGCTTGAGCCTAAGTTTTTTGTTTTCACCAAATACAACTTATTTGCATCCACATGGGTTGACCACAACTGACCCCAAGGCCATGTCCTGACATCCTTTCTTCAGGCACTTATTATTTGTTATTTGTTTCTACTGACAACAGTACAAAAGTTGATAATTAAGCCTATTGAGACAAACAAAGCACACATTTTTGTGTAAGCCTATTGAGACAAACAAAGCACACATGTATAACTAAACGAATAAAATAATTAAAATTACAACCAAAAGTTATTGAATTTTTAAATGTAGGATTTGTACTAAAAGATCAATTTGCTGCAGCTCGTGCTTTATCACGCTTTATGAACATCTCAAGCAGAACTGATGCATTAGGATTTACATCCTGTTACATCAACTGTTGACTTCTTGATTGTAACGGAAAACAAATGCGTTGGTTGCTTTTGACACTTGAACAGGTTTTACGTGGCTGCCAACTGAAATGATTATTATTTATGGGCAATAAACTGAAGTGTTTATAAATAAAACCACGTTTTTTAGAATTGTTGA